ATTATTATTTTGGAATGGCAGAGTTGCCAGACCCTGTAAAATCTCACTCCTGCATTCACAGAAAGTTTAGATTCTGCATTCACAGAAAGTTTAGATCATGTGTCCAGATGTCAATTTCCATTTATAACCTTACTATGCTTTCAGTTTGCTGCTTCTCTCTCCCACTCCCCATTCCCCGCCTGACATTGTTGCAATTTGTTTTTCAAAGGTCTCATCTCCATCTTCTTGATTGGGTGTTCAGTAGAAGGCTCCAGTGTCCATGTTTCATTTATTTTTGCCCCATTTATATTAATCCAGATGCTCTCTATGGGACAATCAATCTTCTCCTCCTGTATTTCTGTGCAGAACTATGTATTGGACCTATAGTGCAATCCCACCTCCCTTTATTTTCTTTCTGTTCTTTTTTGAACAATTTATATCCTTCAGCTTCCATATGCCAATCATGGGAATCAACTCACCAAGTTTCAGTTATTCTTACTGTATTTACCCTCCTGAAAGAAGATTTCCAGTTCTGGTTGTTGTGGGTTTTTTGGGCTCTTTGGCCGTGTTCTGAAGGTTGTTCTTCCTAATGTTTTGCCAGTCTCTGTGGCCGGCATCTTCAGAGGACAGCACTCTATGTTCTGGTGTAGTTGGCTTTGGGAGTACAGTATTTATGGCTGTGAGAGAGGCTTTTGTCTTTTTCTGTAGATGGGTGATTAGTGTGTCTTGTTGTGGGGGTATTCTTGTGCTAAGGAGAAGAGATTATCAGTTCCTGTGGTTGATGGGTGTCATTAGCTGGTCTTTTGAGTGTAGTGATCCCCTGTCCTTGTGGCTGGGGAGAGTTTGTTGACCTTTTGCACGCTGTATTTTTGAGAGCTGGGAGCCACGTTTCAAGTTCTTCTTGTTTGTTTCCAACACTCCTGGCATTCTTGCTCTGCTCCTCTTATGGTGCATACATTTTCATCTCTCTTTTCCAATGAGTGTGCATCTCCCTCTTCTAATTCAGTTTGAAGCCCTCCTGAGAGGAATGCCTCCTCTGATGATCTTAAGCACCAAGAAGGCTCATATGGGGAGACAAATTCCTTGAAAATAAAAATACTTTCCTAAGCTCAGAGGCCCTAGATCCCCCTCCCAAGAGAATGCCTAAAGAAAAACCCAACTTTCCTGTTGACTGAAACAACTAGTCTGACATGTTCACGTTCAACTAGGTATGACTGGTGACCAACAGGGAATGAACAAAGTCAATAGATCCAGACCGAAGGTCACAAGGACATGTAACACTTTATTCTGCCAAGAGGAAAGCAGGTTTTTAGTGTACTGGTCACATTCTGGCTATATGACTCATCTGGCTCTTCAGGAGCCTTCTCCTTTTTATATGATGAAGTCATTGGGAGGCTCACATGAAAAAGAAGAAGAGACGCCTTAAAGAAATGCAGCAAAGTCCTGAGAAGGAAAAAATGTAAGTCTCCTGCTTTTTCTGGCTGTATAGAATGAAAGCGGAATAGAGAAGGTCCCTGAAGGCCAAATTGGATGTAATATCCTTGATACAATTACCTTCTACAGTAACAGGTTTGGAACAAAGTTACTATATTCTTGTAATGATCATAGTTGTAATTTAGTACTTTTCAAAGGAACAACAAGAGGACGCAATATTAATAATTAGTAGTGGTTAGTGTGAGCAGTGAGAAAGGGGGAAAAGAAGAGTCACATGGGTGGTTAATTTAGTACTACCATATCCCACTGCCTTTCTTTGTGCACAGAGAGAAAAGAACTAAGGAGGGAAAAATGTGGCCAAAGAGACTACAAGGAAAACAGACATACACCTCTTCCGGTGAAAGGCCCCTCAGCTTTAACCTGCTCTCCCAAAGCAGGCATGCTCAACAGGACTGTGAAGGAGTGAAAAGGGAGAGAGAAATTGTGCAGTGCATGCATAAGAGAATACACGTAAGAGAAAGTGCATATATGCACGAAAACACATGAGCAAGATTGTGCATGCATGAGAGAAAGCCGCCCAGAGTGGTAGAATATACCAGATGGGCAGGATATAAGTCAACTGAATGAATGAATGAATGAATGAATGTGACTCATTCTCCCCCCACCCCAATAATTCTGACTTGACTCATGACTTGGAACCCACTCCCTTTTCTTCTGGAGGAAAAATATTGTTTTTAATAGGGACTCGGACTTGAGGATTGGGACTCTGGACTAAAAACTCGGACTTGGGAATTGGACCTTAAAGACTTGCCGACATCCCTGGCATCGACTAGCAAGGCGGGCTGGTTGAAGTAACTTGCCAGAGAGCCAGTGTCGTATGTAAAGCCCAAGACAGTTTCTGACATAAAAGGCCAAGATAGAGGTGGTTGCTAGAACTGAATTTTAGAAATAACCTTTGGGACATGTGGAAGCAGCAAAGCATAGAAAAATATATTCCATATCAACCCACAGAGGCTAGGATGGGCAGGCAAGTCTCATACAGTGGTACCTCGCTAGATGACGACCTCTGCATGACAATGAGGTTTTGTGATTTCTATAGTGATTCGCAAAACAGTGATTCCAATGGACGATTTTCGCTGGACGATGTTTGGGTCCCTGCTTCGCAAACCGATTTTCGCAAGACGACGATTTTGCCACTGATCGGGGCTTCGCAAAACGGGTGTTTTCGGGACCGATGCTTCGCAGGGCAGCCATTTTAACAGCTGATCGGCACTTCGCAAAATGGCTTCCCTATGGGCGATCTCTGCAGAGCGATGAGGATTTTTCTCCATTGGAATGCATTAAACGGGTTTCAATACATTCCAATGGGAAAACGGTTTTCGCAAGACGATATTTTCGCTAAACAGCGATTTCAATGGGACAGATTATCGTTGTCATACGGGGCACCACTGTAGTAGTGCATTAGGAGGATCCATAAGCAAGGCCTCCCGTACCAGCTGGTCAATGTATCTGGTATTCTAGTATACTGCCTCTGAACATGGAAGCTTCCTTTAAGAGGTCATTCTTCCAGTCATACTGGCACCCATCCCAACATGGGTGGAAGCATGAGTTCCTGGTGCTCTTTGCAAGTGCCAAGCTGATGGAGTTCTCTGGAGAAGTATTTTGTTATGGCAGTTCAGATTGTTTACTAAATGAATACTCATAAGAAATGCTTGTTCATAGAATTGCAGCCAGACTTGCCTCTTGAACATTTTCATGTATTTTGCAATGGTGGTACAAGCAACAGTAACTGTAAGGTTTTAGTAGCTGGGGCTAAGACATTTTCAGAAACAGGCCAACAGGAATGGTAACAAGTTGCTACTGATCCAAAGTTGTTAACACAGGTTCCTTTTACAAGGACTGTATGAACGCTAGAAGGAACTCTGCTCAGATCCAGGAGGATTGTTTACCTATGACGGATGCCAGCTTTGACAAATTTATAAGACAATTAGATAAATTCATGGCTTTTAGGATTATTAAACTGGTCTTTAGCCAAACTCAGCACAGCTGTTCTTACTCCCTTATGATTCTGACTGCAGTTAGCTACCGTGTTCCCCCAAAATAAGACAGGGTCTTATATTAATTTTTGCTCCAAAAATGCATTAGGGCTTATTTTCAGGGGATGTTTTATTTATGTGTGTGGGATGGGAATATGCTAACTCTGTTCATACAGTCTGGAAGCAACTAGTTACAAATAACATTGATATCTGTAACCTGTAATCTGTTTTCAATTACTTCTTGGCCTACATGGAAAATAAGTAGCAGTTACAACAGTCCTTTTTAGTTTTAATGAGTTTCACCATCACTTAGAAGTAATGAGCTAACACTCCAGGTGTTTTTCCAAAGTTTGCTTTAAAGGGAACTTTAAGGCATTTTGAAAGAAATTTTGTCCTGTTCCCTTAGCAATCCACAGTAGTGAGGCAATACACTTTAAAAAATCTTCTACAGTTTTATTTGTATTTCCAGAGTAAAAAGGTAAAGGTAAAGGTTCCCCTTGACAATTTGTCCAGTCGTGTCCGACTCTAGGGAGCGGTGCTCATCTCCGTTTCCAACCCATAGAGCTAGCGTTTGTCCGAAGACAATCTTCTGTGGTCACGTGGCCAGTGTGACTAGACATGGAACACTGTTACCTTCCCACTGAGGTGGTACCTATTTATCTACTTGAATTTTGCATGCTTTCGAACCACTAGATTGGCGGGAGCTGGGACAAGTAACAGGGGTGTCAGCATTTCTTAGCGCAAATCGTGGTTTTAGCAGAGTGATTCGCAGTCCAAGCAGCATTTCCTTCAGCAACGTGTATTTACAGCAGTATTTTACAGCATTCTGGCAGCATAACGTGTAGAAGTGATCTTCAAGCAGGAAGATA